CCAAATATTTCAGGAAATTTAATGGAGGGGGGGGGGATACACAAATTTTTCAGAAATACGCAAGAATTTAACTAGGGATGTGGCAACGTGCGGATGATCATACAACGGTCTTACTTAACACGACAGCTTTACCACAGGGATACGGAACGGTGGTTTTCTGGTTAATTTACTGTAATTCTCAACGATTTTACCGTGTGTGCGTTTTGGAATATCGGGAACTAAGCACACAAAAATAACTAATACTCACGTAAAATTATTTCTATTGTAGCTCACGATGCTTTTGCTGCACTCACTCACTAACATGCAAGAGAGATGTAGCAAAATTACTGTTGAACAAATAAAGTCGAGGTCAATTGCAGTGAATTTACAGTAAATATAGCGCTAAAGTACCACATGCAGGGAGCAGAACCGTATAGTTTCTTCCTAATATTTTGGTGACGATCTCAATGAGCTGTTTCAACGTGAAAGTTGTAATATCAATTGTGTGATTACATTGGATTTAATTCTACTATAATTGCATGAGATTTCGCATCTTTTAGATTCGGGGAGCTAGCTTGCCGTTTTCATCCATGCAAGAGAATCGTAGTTTTCTCTGTGAGAGTATTTGCGCAGTCGTTATCAAGTTGCAAATATACACCTATTTTCCAAACAAGATTATCGCAAAAAAACTGATAACAGAACACTCTTTCATTATTTTTTTGTTTGATGAGACGTACAGCTCTATATGAGTGTGGATTTCTCGTGAAGTTCAGGGTTTGATGGTTGTGGAAGATTCGTCGATGGTGATTCGTAAATCGGAACGCTGTATAACTATGAATGATGAGGTTGTCGAATTTTTGGTTACGTCAATGAATTCTCCCACCTATTTGAACGGATGACAATTTCCTACGAATACCAAACGAGACTTATCCGGAGAGAAATGGTACCGACATAGCATACAAAAAAAGGTGCTACTCACTCAAGTTATTATTGTACAACGGAGAGACTTGAGAATTTAATTTATTTTGATATATATTGTTTTTAATGTGCTTTGCGCCTTGCATTAAGTGAAATATTTCTGTGCAATATCAATACTCTTCTCAAAACTTATGTTAAATCTATATTTTGTTCAGGCGATACCCGAACTTTTCGGAAAGGAGCGCAAATAAAAAAAATCAGATAACTTATCATGATTCGTTGTGAATTATATACTAAGATTGGGGCATGTGTTTAAGAATAGATTAGCACAATACTTAAGCTCATCTGCTCTTTTATTATTTTTCATTCTTGAGAGATCTGAAGGAGTTAGTACCTGACAGGAAATATCGTATTTAAAAGACACCAAGAACGAATTTTAGGGAATTTTATTACTTAGGTACCCCTTTTTACCGTCCTTTCGAGACGGGAAACATAGCTTAGACCTCCTCGGTTGTCTCATTTTTATTGGCTCTTTGCAAGTTGAGAGAGAGTTAGAACGGAACCAATACTGTAGCGAAAGGAGGGAAAACTATTCTCAAGGGAAGGAGCAAAACCGAACGTACTTTACGTATTTTTATATGATTTTTGTCAACAAGAATTTAATCTTCAAAAAATTTGTTTTGCTGAATTCAACATTTTTCGAAGCCAGGGAGCCCATACCTCAATATATTCTGCTCCACGTTCATATCTGAAGAGTATTGAAACTGCAATGAAAGACTGTTTCCTTAAGTTTCTACTCTTCGGCCCTTCACTAATATTTTCAGAGGCAACCCCTCTTTGATTCCGTACCTAATTTCAGCCTCTTTGGGAAAAAAAAACAGACTAGTCATGCATTTATTTATATTTTAAGTTATCTGTGTAAGCTAAATCTATGATTGAAAAATAAATTTATGTACTTAATAAAATTTGTTGTCCCTGTTGTTATTGAAAACACTAACCTTGCTCAAATACAGCTCCTCTTTCTACCCATACTTCCTGTTTCATCAGTGGGTATTTTTTGCACACTCAATCTTTGCTGCCGCCGTAGAAAATGCCGTTAGGTATATTTTTCTCACCAAAATAAAAACGTTTTAAATAAATTGATATTATAAATAAACGAATAAAGTGAATAATGGAAAATCTTTGAAAGTTGTAACAAGACAGATAGAAAAGAAGAGGGAACCAATAGTAGGTACAAAAGGTGAACTCAGAGACAGAGCTCCAGTCCATTACGGATAGGCAAAAGCAGAGGAAAATTGAAAGAAAGAACCATTGTAGTGTTAACTATGGAGACAACGGCGACAAACTATGATTTTGGGCACTTAAGTACTTACATGTCTATTTCATTCTCCTACTTTCCGCACTCTTCAAGTACGCCCCCAAGAGGCTTTTCATGTACACGACAGAACTGACAATAAAGTCCATAGGTATTTTATCGAAACGATGGTGAAACTTGGAGACCAGCATTTAGATAGCGAGGATTCACAATTTCCCCTATGTTTTATTCGTTTGAAGGAAAATGAGTCAACTGCATCGCTCGAAATTTTCTCATAATATTCTTCAGAGAGGAAAGAATAATCACACGGTGAATTTTAAGAAATCGTATTCGAAAGTTTCCTCATCAATAGTATGCATAGTCTTCGACGACTCAATCTCGTCACCAAGATGCACGATTTCGGAATTTAGCCTGCTCTAAACACATCCAACAAAACGTAAAAAAGGCCGGCGTAAACTCAGAGATACAGCACACTTTCATTTAAATTCTATACCTTCTGGAGACGTTTATGAATGAGTATTAAATCATGTCTGTAACTTTTTTGACATAGTTGTCACCGAATATAGCCAATGTCATGAAAAATTATGATTTGGGAGCAAGCTGCCTGACAATTGTCATTTCCGTCAAGTATTTGACTATTCGTCGGGAATTTTTCTGAAGACCAGTGAAAATAAATAGATTATTCAAAATTAACTCTCATCCTGTACATATTAAGGGGTGCCTTACTTTCCTAGATTTGTTCGTCGATACAGTAATAAGTGTAAATGTTACATAGTGTGACCATCAAACGCTTTAAACCGATGTGAGATCGCAAAGTAACTCGTTATTTGGCAGTAACCTCTGATAAACAATGGGTACTGATAAACCACTAAATTCTCCGCACTTTTTCATCAGTAATCATTAAAGCCTTTCATCAAGATAAATGATCTGCTCCAAATTTGCCGTCCTGCTCAAAAATTCGTTCTTAATTTTAGCGGCAAACGGGAGACGTACCCGCTATTTCAAAAAATACCGCTAAATTTTAAAAAGAGGGATGCGTATGAAAGCATTTGATTGGTCAAACGCAGCGATGCTCAATGCCGAATTTTGATTGGTCCGGGTACAGCATCTTGATCAGCATAACCTAGCGGCGATTAAAGGAACTATTTATCATAACCTCCTTTTTCGGCAAATTGTTTTTTCTGTTTTCGCTTTTCCGTCTCTCTTTCGTTTTTCTTAAGAGTTTTTCTTAATTTTCTCGCTATTTTTCATCTCCGAAGCATATCTTGCATATTTCGCGATTCTCGCTGACTATCGGTGTAAGTAAAATTTGAGTCTAGCGGATCATGTAGCCTCTTGAAGTCGTCATTCTCAAAGTCCACAAGTTGTTTACAATCCTGTGATAAAAGGTTTTGGTGGTTTTATCTCTGAAAACTCTCACAGACGAAGTCGGTGTTTTGAATGCAGCCTCAATTTACCCCATCTCATCTGAAATTCGCTCCAAATTTGGTCAATTAGCGCACGAATCAGTTCCTGAGGCAAGCTTGTGTTTCAGTGTCTTCACTTTCGCAACTCCAGGTAAGTACCTACTTTTATTATCACAAGTGTGAAGAATTATAATACCAACATCTTCTGCACAATTTCTTTTTTAAACACTGTGATTTAATGTGTAACAAACGAAAACCTGACCTCTACCTCTACTCTTCTACGCTACTTCCCGAACGCCCATGCATGCTCACTGGCGACAGTCGCTAACCTCTTGTTAAGCGAGAGGTCAACCCATAAAAGAAGTCAGAATCTTATTTATTATATCTGATCAAGTTAATTTAAGAGCTTGTAAATTTCATGAATTTGTAGCACAAGTTTCTTGTATTTATCCCTTAGCACCAGCAGAATTTGGTTTCTGCTGCTGGCTGATTTTTGCTTCGAGTCTGAAATCCTGAGGAGAGAATACTTTTAGTTGTATTTTTGTAATCTTTTTATCAAGAAGTAGGCTTTAAAGTTCAGTCCAATTCACAACCAAACAAGCTGAGACTCAAGGGTAGGGTTTCTCTTTCTGCATGTAAGCGGCTGCGTTATATCCAGGGAGTGGCCATGAAGGATTAATTGAGGGCAGTAATGATGAGAGGAACCACGAAACAAATATAATACAGGCCTCTGTACATGATAGTCAAGCGCAAGTAACTACTATGTTAAGTGTGATGGAAGTTCCACCAGCTGATCTACTTGCGCTCATTTAGCACAATTGGGTTTATGATTTCTCTTTTGATGACATCACCATAGTTTGAAGTTCGACATGAAACTATGTCAAGAGAATTGTGCTAATTTTCAGCTAAAAATAGGTATAGTTGAGGTTTAGGCTAGCAACTCTGATTAATTTGGAGTATTTCAGCATTTTAAGGTATGTGTCACAGTGTTAGTAAGTGAAAGAACAAATAGAAGCTGATATTTCGGAGGAAATCCCATCTCCATGTTCTACTGGAGAGAATAAAAGTATGTATGTGAGTTACCTAAAGTATCACTTACATGACCTCTGAATTTGATTCAATTACAGTTTTAAGAAAGTCCCTTATAGTAATCCAAAATGCTCATAACTCACTATTACTCATTTTTTCACGTCCTTCAATCTATTAATGGAAAATGTACATATATTTGTTTCCTTATGACAAAGTCAACACTTTTAGACCTAGTATACCCACTATTTTATTTGCTTGCGTCAACTAACAATTTTTTAAATCATGTGCCAGAAACATGAGTACGGGTGAAGCGCAACCAATGAAAGAGGACAGCGAGGAGGAGGTGGATCGTGATTCGCCTGACACTGATCAATCAACCCAGTCAGCTGACTCCAGCGATGATGGCTTCGAATCCGATGATAGTTCAGGTACTCAAATTTTTTTTGATGACTCACAACTTTTACTTGGGGACTGGTATCTACAAGGCACTTAAATCCAATTTTGCTGCTTCAGTAACGTTCTGCCTTTTTTACTGAGATTGTTAATTGTTGCTATAAATTTAAAGCAGGGGTGCGGTAACTTCCCGAACATGCGAACATGATTGCAAGGGCTGCTCCCAAGAGAAAATGGGAAGGCCAGCATGCAATTGCATTTCATTGTGTGTTCTTTTAAAAATTTCTGTGAAATGTTTGTCTTTTGCGAAGTAGCGGCAATTTCGGAAGGAAGAAAAAAAATCCGGTAATTTTTTGAAAATAGGAGATTTAAAGTAGAAAGACCAGCAAGGAAATGGGAAAGCTAAGAACTCTGGACATTCCTGATTTGAAGTTTTTACTTTGCAGTTCTTAACATTTTTCCCTGAAGGTTTAAAATTTTTCCTGCGGATAAAATCACAAGATAAGATAATATGTAAACTCATGCTGTAGTATTTAGCCTACTGAAGAATCGCTAATTTTATCAACTAAAAAAGTTCCGAAATACTTACCTCTTTGTTTAGTGGAATGAAAAGTAATTTTTGCGAATGCCTTTATTTTTGACTCAACAAACTTCTTTCTATTTGCATTCTTGACATGCTCCAGAGCAAAGATATATACCTGGGAAAATTTTACTCATTTCTTCTCTTAACACTTTTTTCAGAAATGGACAATGAGGAGAATGAAAAGCGGAGAATCGAATGCTTAGAAAATATTGCTGATATTGAACGACAGTTCACCGGACTGAGAGAACAGTAAGTGCAAATTTTGTCTTAATTTATTTTTCTTTCTTTTTTATTATTTTCCATACAATTTTGCAGTTTGCAGGATCACTGATAGTTTTAATGGTATTGTAATTTACCCCTGAAAGGAATTATTAGTATTTTTTCTCTTTTAACACCTACTTTTTTTGAAGAAAAATAAAGTAAAAGAGAAGAAAAATAATCATGTGTTGCCTGCAATGCTTAAATGATATCAGGCATCATAGGCATGTTCACTATTATGAGAGTTTGAATTTTTCATTCCATGGGGTAGACTACCTGTCAGTAAAAATTTTATCATTTAAAGGAGATCCTTTCAATTTTTTATTTTCTCTGTAACTCACTGCCCTTTGAACATCATGAAATAGGATTAACGCTAATGCATTCAAAGAATTAAACAAATGAGAATCTCTGTAAGCCTTAAATTTTTGACTGCATATTAACAGTTCCAAATTCAAATAAAATGCTGCTGCAAGATTTGGGCGGAAAAGTAGTTCAGAATCTCTAAATATTTGCCTATGAGGTACATAAATTTGCTCATAACTGTCTTATTTTCTATTGCAGATTATACAGGGAGCGATTGAATCAAGTTGAGTACAAATTGAGTGAAGTTAAAATGGGCTGTGCTGTCGAGTATCTAGAGCCATTGGCAGAACTAGAAGAGAACTGTCGGATAAAAACAGAAGTTGCTGCTGTATTGAAACAATTTAGGATAAACAATATCTGCAATCAGTTTGAAGCTGAAGAGCTAGCTGCTAAACAAAATTTAGATGTAAGTGTCCTCCTTCAATGTTCTTTTTTCATTAAATAATTGTTCACCCTTTCAGTTTAACTCTACCGACCTGGAGTAAATGAAGCTTTGCACACAATTTTAAAGTTTCCAATAAATAGAGAAACAAAATCATTTTAAATTGTTTTGTTGTAATAACTTCATGGTTACTGAATTGAGAACCATGAACTACTAGCTGAGGTGCAAATTTGAGAAATATGACATATGTCTCATCAAAATTTCATGCAGAAATTCATCTGTGCAACAAAAATTATTGAAAAGTACCCCTAATGAAGATAACATTTATTTGTGTATAAATTTCAACTGTCCACTCATGAAAAACAAAAACAATAATATATTTGAGTTAAATCACTCACTGGAGGTTTACGCAACAGTCTCTGCAGTATGAAAATTTGTGCTTTAGCTTACAATCAGCTGTTGTGCGTTGTCTACACTTTGAACAACACAGGGCTGAGTAGGAACACTGCTTGTTTAACCCATTGACTTAAAATGACGGCTCCCAGCCGTCATCGCAGCGCTGGGCCAGCTCTGAAATGACGGCTCAGAGCTGTCCACTGATTGTTTGCGTTATTTCGGCAATTCTCTGGTAGATTGCGTTCTCATGAATGTTTATGTGAGTAGTGTGGCCACCCTTTGACTTATTGTGTACGGTAATTTCTTGTTTTGTTACGGTATTTTCATATTACTGTGCGTTTGCACATGAAATAACCTCAAAATTTTCTGATTTTCGCTGATTTTGCGATTTTTGCGATTTTGACAGCTATAAACCACATAAAAAAATCCATGTGTTCAAAGTTTTCACCATTTTTCTCAAACGTTGTATTGTGAATGCTTATTTTGTCAATTTTCACCCTTTGAGAAATAATTTCTGGATTATTTTGAAGTGTTCAAAGTTGCTGATTTTCGCCAAATTAAATCGTAATTCCTGGCCCGGCAGGGTCAAATTAAATCATAAGTCAATGGGT